GCTATTCATGAATGGCAAAAGTTATACAACGAAATGTATGTAAATATTTATAAACAAAATAGCTGAACTGTTTAAATGAAACACCCAAAAACTTTACGCAGCCAAGTTTTCGAAAAAATGTCGGAAACAATTGTTTGGACTGAAAATTTTGTCTATATAGCACAATTAATTAGGCATTCAAAACGCGTGCATAAAATAAATATAAATTGGCCTTATCGTCAGGCCCAACAAAAAAAAAACACTTGTTTTATTTTTGTGGTTTACGAAAAACTGGTCTCGTTTTTGATTTGTTCACTTTTCTATAATTTAATTTTCGCTTACATATCTAATATGTTTTAGCTGCTGTTTTTAATCTAGTTTGAAACTAATTTGCGCTTGTAATTAGCGTCAAATTTGGTATTTGTCCCATGACAGAGGTGCAAATTGTTCTCTCTCACCTGTGCTGATCGGTGTAGATAGATAGATATATATATTTATATGTATACAGATATGGTGCATGTTTATTGTGCTAAAAATGTTTTGATTATTCGACTGAATAAGCAAAATACAATTTTAAGCACTGTGCTATGTTTAACATTAACGAAATAGAAAATTTAAACTTTTTTTTTTGTTTGTTCCTTGTATGATTAACAAGTACGAGAAGTGTATTAAAACTGTGTTTGCATTTCGTTTTGAAATAAATATGAAAACTTTTTGTTTTCGTACAATGCAATAAGAATATTCATTTATTTTTCTTGGTTTATCAGCCAGCGCAGTGATCAGTGGGATATCTGAATTAGTTATCTACTAGACAAAAAATCTAACGAACTTTTTTTATTTCTAATAGTTTTTACTTAAACTATGTCCATTTGACAGAGCTCGACCTCTATTCAAATAGCTCAAGTCCTAGCCAAATATTTGATATGCTAACACTTCATGTTCCCAAAAATTTATTATATTTTTATTTTATTAAAAATTGGTGAAAATGATTACTTTTATTTAAAAAGGACAAAACATATATTTTTTTGAATTGATTGTTTCATTATTATTTTTTTAAATAAAATTGACAACAAATTATTATTATTTTCTTTTATATTATAAACAACTTTTATTTATTTTATTTAAAATTAAACAAAATTAGACGAATCGAAAAGCTTGGTTGAAATAATTTTAAACTCGTTTTTCAGTATTTTAAATGTTTATTAGGTGATTTTATTTAATAATATTGTTATTTCTTTTATTTAAGGATAAATACTTATACAATTTATTCTAAAGCTAAGTCAAACATAATATGGCCAAAATTTTAAATGAAATATTAAAGTGCAAAAGTATCTTTTACCAATGTTCCTTTTGACTTTCTGGTTACCCAACTCCCGAAATATTTATTTTATTATAGATTTATTTAATTTAATTCAAATTTAAATATTGCACTGCAAAAGTATCTTTTACCAATGTTCCTTTGAGGTTCTGGTTACCCAACTCCTGAAATACGACAGCATTTGCCAACAGATCAACTTAAAAGCTGGCCCAGTTTTCCAGCTTTCATCATGATGATGATGATGACGAGGCTGATGATGATGATGATGATGGTGATTTGGTATGCAAATGCGTCAACGCTTAAGTACGGGAGTTGTCAGCTACCGCCTGCAGCGGCCTGCCTCTCCGCGTCGGGCTTAACTGCCGGTCGCACATGGCAGACGCCAGAGCTTCTACATATAGAAATACATATTAATGACTTCAGTTGCTGTTGTTGTCGCTACTGATGTTTGTTTTATTTGTGTTTTTTGTTGCTGTACTCGCATTTTTTATTTGTCTTTTATCAGCCTGTTTCCATATGGCATATATCGTTAGGTGCTGTGCGGTGCGTCGGCACATTTTGAGTAATTGAAAGCCGCACTCATCCAAATGAACTGCTAATACGAGTATCAATATTGGAACACATTTGAATGTGCCCATAGTTAAATTCGTTTCGGGTTATTTAAAGAGCTCTTGTGTGCCATGTAAATACTGCGTGCCTTTCGTAGGGTATTCGATATTCGTTCCTGCGATATCATTATACATAAAACCCATTGAAAATGGGTAAAAAGTGTATTATGTATTTGTGCAAATGTATGTAACAGGTAAAAGGAAGCATCTCCGACCACATAAACCATCAACAGCCGAGTCGATCTAGCCGTCCGTATGTATGATCGAGTTTGTTTCCGATATTTGAGAACTTGCCACGTTTCCAAGTAATCGATAAAAATCGATATCGAAATCCTGTTTGTTGAGCAATTTCGGCAAATAATATGAGCTAGAGTTACCAAACTTGACATGTAGCTTCTAGAATAGTATATATGTATCTTTCATTTTATACCTATCGCCTGTCGGAAGAAAGGGGGTCAGGGTATCCCCTAGTCGGGAGCTCCCGACTAGAACCTCTTACTTGTTTTTATTTATTTTACCTAATTCTGTTGCAGTTTGTTGTTTGTTTGTTTACGTCCAAGTTGAGGCTGTGACGGCTCTATGGGCCATTACTTCCCCAATGCTGACAATGGATCCGGGACATGGACATGCCTGTTGGGTTCTATGCCTCGATGGCTGCCAGCCCCATTGTCTGCTTGCAACATGTGGCACAGCATTTGGCTGATGATTTGTTAAGAGAAATAAACTGAAAACAATTTATGCCTTCTAGTTTTTAGCAGCCCAAATTGATTTTTATTGAGTTTTTGCACACAGTTTCAATAAAAATGTTTGATCTATTTAATTTCGTTTAGCTGTTAATTGGCATTCATTGAATTGCCTTCCAATTTTTATTTATTTAACTTTTCTTTTCTTTTTTTAAGGCCATTGGCAACCAAACTGCGTGTGCCTAGGCTATATATAAATTTAATTAATGGGTAAATGGGGCATGATAGAAGAACATATAGATAAACGACATTTATTCTGTGCTTTACAGATCTTAGGTTGAAGTTCTTCGTATTAATGGAGCTTCTCTTCCTAGAAATATTGAATATTTATTTATAAAACTAAAGTTTTTATTTTAACTTTTATTATTTTAATCAACATAAAGAGATCTTATATAATAACTTTATGACTATCGTCTTTTCCAAAGTTTTGAAACTTAACTATGTTGAAATTATTAGAAATGAATTTACAGGGTATTTTAAAGCCAGCCACAACTATTTTATTCTTCTCGTTGACAACAAAATCCAAGCGCGCCAACAAAATTCGATGTGTATTTTGATTGTAAATATTGTGGTGCGTAGTTGTTGCTGCGCCATTTGTGACGTCATTGATTTTTGACAAAAAAAAAGCCCTTCCGAATTGCCAAATCAATGAACGTTCCAGAGTTTAACATGTGGCGCCTGGTTAATTGTTGTAATTGCTTTCAAACGTTCCATTAACTAAATATTTATTTTATGAGCTGCTTAAAAAACGGAACATTAAATATAAATCTGTTACCGCAAATACCTTTAGTTTATTTATAGATATATTTCTCTGTACAGCTTAAAAAACATTATGCATATATTTGCAATATAAATGCGCTCACAAATCAATCACATATATTAATGATAATAATGTTTATTCATAGACTTGTGATTAAATTGCAGCTGCATGAATATTAAGTATGTATAAAGCAAAGTACGCGCAGACCAACCCAATTATCAACTCTGATAAAGAATATACATATATATACTTTATAGAATTTAAGAGGGGCAGCAAATGACACTTAACAGGCAAATGTTGTTTAACAGCAGCACTTTAATGTGCCCAGCAACGCAACTGTTAAGCGTTAACAGCATGCTAATTTTCGATGCTGTTAATGAATAATGAAGGCATTTGAATTTGAGGTTTTCCAAACCAAAGATATATTTATTTAAATGAATCATAAATCAGTTTTACACGTTAAACGGAATAAAAATGAAGCTCACATAATACCATAACATAAATTAACGGCCAAAATATTTGATGAGCCAATAAAAAAAAATACATTTTTCAAAATATATGTACGTAATTTAGTTACTCTTGAGTGTTTTTGTTTTTGTTTTTTTTTTTTATAAGTTATATGGCATGTGTGGGGCACATACATTGTGTTTGTAGCTATTTATAATTTGTAATAAATTTTTAAATAAATTTTGTATATAATTATGTATAAGTATGCATGTATATCGTAGTATGTATATTTTAAACTTTTTTCCATTTTTCAATGTTTTTCCAATAAAACAGTCAGACAATTTTTATTAAAATAAATTAACACGTTTTTCGCCGCCGCCGCTTGAATCGGCATAGAATATTTTCAATATTTTATGCGCTGAGCCACTTAATATTTTTTTTTGTTGACAAATAGTATGCATATTATTATAATAATTGTATACATATATTTCGATTATCATATAAATATATATATATATATGTGTGTGTGTATATATATTTGTTGTTAATATAATTGTTAGTTGCATAGATATTTCAAATAGTTGGTTTAACAACATCCGCATAAAAGTCTGTTGCTAGTCGCTCAGTGTAAATAGTTCGTATGTAGTACAGTGTAATGGCGCCTTCTTGTAAAAAAATTAAAAAACATTTAAAGCAAATTGACAGACAATCTGTTGCTGCTGAGCTCGTTTAAAGTAATTATCGTTAAGTATGTATAGATTGTTTGACGTTTTCAGATAAACATTTTCTTTGTTCATTTTTTTTTTTTTTTTTGGGTTTTTTTTCAAATTTTTTTGTACTACTTGGGAAGCCTCTAGTTTTGATATTACACAATAATATACTGATAGTGTTGGCGGTTCTTTTTTTTTCTGTTTAATTGTACAGTTTTAAGGGTTCAAAAATTTTGACAATAGACATTGACATTGTTGATTAAGTGTGGTTAGGTTTTACTTGAAGTTAGGTTAGGTATAGGCATAGGTAAGTTCGCATTGGACAATCGTGTGTCAACCCTGTTGTCAGTGTTTTTTAAAAACATTGATTTTGATTATGTTCTTGACATACAATATTCAGATATTATGTATGCATAGATATAATAGTATTACGTGTTTTTATGTTAGTTTATATTTTTTTTTCAAATTCTACACAAAAATTGCACGTGACGTCGACTCGTTTTAATTTATTTGTTTAGAGTTTATGTATTTTATTTTCTTTCGTTTGCAAACTAGGGCAAAGGTCAAATGATTGGGGATATTTGTTTCTTCTTTGAATAAAACTGGAAAGCTCAGCTTGAAAGCTTTTATTTTTTCTCTCTCTCTCTGTCTCTATACCTCGTCCCGCTCTATTTAAGTGTCTTGGCCTATTTTAGTAAAACTTCTCGCCATAGTAGCTGGGTCCACGTTCGCCCACCGGTTCGTTCAAGAACTGATTCTGGCCAATGGAACGCTTCTTCTTGGCCACCATGAAACGCTTCGAGGAACCAAGACCTGAAAAAACAAACATATCAGAATTCTGTTTATGACCCAATCTTTCGGCTGTTTCCAACACTTACGACTATTGCTGCCCATGTATTTCTGTGGGCGTGGCACATACTCATACTTGGGCACCACCTGCGCCTCGACGGGTACGCCATAATAGTCGACCAGTTGGGGCGCCTGTTGTTGCTGTACGGGTGCATCCAACCAGCTGCCAGCGGGCACATAATCCATTTCCTCGGCATCGATCAAGGGCACCGAAACTCCGCTGTCGACATCGGTCTCCTTGCGGGCTCGCTCACCGGCTTCGACCAGGGCAACGAGGGCTAACATGTCAGCTGGTGTCAGTTTGGTAGTGTCACGCTTCAGGCTAAGTGGATAGATTAGAATAAAATTAGCACAATTATTTGGATGCGAGCCGTCAGGGTTAACTAGTTTGAACAGGTGTAAGGTGATCACAAACTGGATTTGAATCAAATGGGTTCTCCTTTAAGTGATTTTTAGAAAAACATTCTAATTCTGTTGCAATTCAGACTCGTATGCTAATCTTTTCACTTAACATTCTATTAACTCTAACTTGTAAAGTTGTGCAATGTTATTAACATAAAAAGTCAATGTGAACCTTGTCGCTTAACAGTTGTAGCTATTCTAACAGTGCGAATAACTGCTAAGCACATGTTTAGCTGTTAACATAACTGTTGACTGTATGTTAATGATTTACACTTACCGCATATCTCCATAGCGACGGTATTTGTTCAAATTGAGATTCTCGCTGGGAGCATTTGCGCCGGCCAAGTTATAGTAGATGCCACGCTTATTACGCTCATCCAGATTATAGTTGCGATTGGCATAGGTAAGTGGCACAGACAGGGGAATGCTCTCCAAATAGGCCTCGGCATTGAGCAGATTCTGTAGATTATCGTAGGCCTTATTGCGGCCAGTGGGCGTGTTTACTAAAGAGGGGCCGAGATTGAAATGGGCATTGGCCGCAGAATTATGCTAATAGGGGTCCACTTACCATGTCGCTCCGGCACATAATCGTCCAGTTCCTGCAGCTCGCGTTCATTGTTATACTTATTGTAGCTGTTGTAGCCGATGGGCGCGGCAGGCTCATAGTCCTCGGCCCAAACGCCATTGGGCACCTCACTGCCATAATCGTTGCCAGCCACGCTCATATACGGATTGTACTCATAGTTAATGCCACGCTTGCGCATTGTCGAGCTGGCAACGGCCTCCTCCAAAACCGTGGGCTCATTCTGCGCCTGCTGCTGGCCGCCCTGGGCGGCGGCTGCGACAGCGGCCAGGATCTCATCGTTGCTGGGCAGCGCATAGAGGCCAGCCTGTGGCTGCTGCTGCTGCTGCTGTTCGTTGGGTCCATTCCGGGCCGGAGCATTGCTAAAGGTCGCGGGCACAATTTCCGGACTTGACTTTTTATCCGCCTGTGGCACCATGCCACTCGATGTTGCCCCATCCTCAGCGTGTTTCACTGCAAAGATATCGAAAAATTTTATGTAATTTGCCATTGCGTGCTTTTAGGGGTCGCCGCTGCTGATTCAATAAACGGCCAAAAGCAATTAGCCAAGCTGCCTGTCTAACATAATTTGTTTCATTCGGAAGCATATTTTTTTTTATATTTTATTATCGCCAGCTTTGCTAATTGCTATTAGCGCGGGCAAAGCCATGTTTATTGCAGTTACTTTAGCAGCTGTCGCTGTCGCGAGGCATTTAGCTAGTTGGTTTATCCCCATAACAACTAATACCCATTGACATTATTATCCCTAATCATATTTACGGTTGGCTCTTACACAACGCTGCACAATGCTAATTGAATTGAGTTGGCCTGAAGCCGATAATCAAGCGTTTCCTAGCTGGCAATTAAACTTGAATTAACACTTGCAGCAATCAACTACAGTGAACTCTCCATGGGTCGGACAGACATTAATTATCGCTTGTCTTACGAACTCTTGCTGTCATTTAATTTGCAAGTTCCATTTTGCCAATTAAAAAGCAAGTTAAAGGAACTGGAAGCAATCAAAACTTGGCCAACCTGTGAAGTGTGTCCGTTAATAGAGCTTTCACTGTAACAGGTGACAACTGTCATGAGTGACCCACGCAGCTATCAGCCCCATCTAACGTGTTTAATTTAGCTCCACCACAACTAGAGCCCATCACATGCATCGCTCAACGCCCTGCGACACATATTTCATGGGGATTTTCCTGTGCTTTGGGGCCAAGCGCATGTTTATCTAGTTAGCACTCCATATTGTATCGACATTTGAAATGGTTTTTGTTTTTTTTTTTTTTGTCTAACCCGTGCGATAAGGAAACGCTGCGCGTAAACAAATGCCCAACAAATGATCAACAATGATTTATATGTATTTACATATAACTGGATTGCAATCGTTAATCTATTGTTTAGTTGGGCAGACCAGCTATTAAAATGCCCCGAACCTTATCTAAAGTGTTATACGTCCATAGCCTTGTCGAAACTGAACTGATTTTTCCGGTATGGAACATTTGGTCCTTGTGCTTATTATTGTACTGTCTGTACTATATGTAATAATATTATATTCATTTTCGTTTTGATTGGATAGATATTTTGTTCATTAAAAGTTTGAAATTGTTTTAAAATAATTTTTTATGAGAGAAAATATTATTTTTAATCTATTGTGATTATATAAGATATTCTTAAACATACCATTAAAAGATTCTAAGGAAATATGTTTATAATATTATATTATTTATTTTAATTTATTTTATATATAAAGCAGAATTTGGCATTGGGGTATTCCCAAAAAAAAAAAGATGAGCCATCATCAAAATCAGAAATAATTGTTTATCAAAAAAAAACAAATGTCTAGTCAAATGATTTTATTCGAACCCCTTGATAGCTTATCTTAATTGTTCACATAAACGAAAAAAATGGCTTCATTTTGGGAGTAAATTTTATTATCCCTTTTATCGCTCATTTTGCAACAATTTAGTATAATGTACAACTAGCAATATGGCTGAACCATTTGCTAAAGTACTTTGCTGTGGCCTTCACGGAAAGCAGGCTAACCTAGTTTCCCAGTTGGCTGTTCTATTATTCTGACCAACTCGGCCATATGTTTGCCTTGTCCAAGAGCTGGCAAGAGCCTCGTCATGAGCCTTAAGCCCTGGCCAAGAGTGTGCACAACAAGAAAACAAAAGGGGGAGGAGCGGCTGGTTGTTGGCTATAAAAAAAATATTCCCACTGCTGTTGCGTCTGGGTAGCCTCCGGCAAGGAATTGCCGAGTGCAGGGTGCAGGGGCATAAATAAATAAAAAACAGCCAACTAAATTATACGCGCTGACGTTTGCTGACGTCGCTTGTTGTTGTTGTTGTTGCTGTTGTTGTTGTTGCCGCTGCCAACATGAAAATATTCACTGAACTGTAAAAATATCAACAAGTTGTTTGCTCTTCAATTTTTGCCACACACACAAAGCACAAACTCACACACACACGCACACGAACACACAGTTGTGTTTGTGTTGGGCCTGTTCTTGTGGTTGGGCCTGTTATTGTGAGGTTGTTGCTTAGCCTGGGCTAGCGCAGCTGCTGAATAACAAGTACCAAGAACGCTGGCAACAACACAATTAACGTGTCCGCAGGCAGCGCGGCCTGAAAATAACTTAATAATAACGGCATATGGAAAATTTGCTTGACATCAAAATGGAAATGCGGTTGCTGCTCGCACTCTCTGCCCCCCTTTCTCTCTCTATCTTATATGTACTTTCTATGTACATATATAGTATATATCTTTGTGGTTGGCCAGCGCCTTGACTCTGCAATTGACAGGCGCAATGAATATTTGATGAATTTACAATAGCATATGCTACATTATATCGCAGCGTAACGGTTGCTAAATGCCAAATCCGAGACTTATATAAATATTTGTTCGTTTGTGCCTGGGGTTTGGGTTATGTGCCGTTTCGTAATTGAAGGCTGAGCGCTGTTAGCGGCTTGACAGCAAAAGCGTTGCCTACTTTTAAGCGCGCCCGAAAATGTTAAGCCCAATGCTGAGCACAGTAAAAGCAACCAATACACAGGCAAATGGCGTCAGGCAGCGACCGCAGCAGCGGCAGCAGCTAAAAGCAAACAGCAAAAACGGCTGCTCTAACGGGATGTCTAAAAATAGAAATGAAATCGCGCGCACGTACACACACACACACACACACACACACACAGATATATGTACGCTCGCTTGCATACCAAAAGAGGCTGGCCGCCATTTTGTGCAGCAGCCTCCCACGCGTTGCGTAGGTGTATCCGACTCTGTGTGAGCATGTGTGTGTGTGTGTTTATGTATTTGTGTATTTTTGTATATTATGACTCGCAATGATTGTAATGTTACACTAAGCCCGCTGGCTCTGGAGTGCAAAGCGCACAACAACTACAACAATGACGGCACGAAATAAAATTTTTTATATATATACATATATGTATATATTTTATTTTTTTGGTAATATCGGCTGAGCCACAAGCTGCTTGCCAGCTGTCGTGCTGTCTCCTCTGTGGCAAAACACCTACGCAATTTCCTGCAAGCCCAACAGCGGAAAATGGAAAGCGCTGCTGTTAACGAAATGGCGAATTTGTTGGGGCTTGTTTTGTTGAGGGGGGTGGGGTATGTTGAGGCGGTAAACGGAGATGAGAAACACAGACAGGATGCTGGGTGGTCCGTTGCCTTCAGCTTTTTAAGCGCGCGTGGGCGTTTTGCTTAATGTGCTCAACTTACAAGTTACACACAGACATTTACATGTACAGTAAAACACAGCTAAGGTGCACATAAAACATGGCTTAGCGCTTGTTTAATCAGCATTTTTGCTGATATGAAAAAGATATAATTTGATTTTTGGTTTTTAATTCAATTTGATGAGACAACAATTTCTTTAATATTTTGTTGAGTAATTACAAGTTGATTTACAAAAATAATATAATATAAAATTTGTATTTCAATAAATTAACAACCAAATATATTAGTTTACAAACAGAAGATGAAACTTCGATTAAAATAAATGTTTTTTGTTAGGATTGTTTTTTTATATATTTTTTTTTTCTTTTTTTGTGGAACACTTAACTTGTTCATATCTTCTAAATGTTATTTTTTAAAACCAAAATCAACCTGACTATATATTTTTCGCATTACAGACAATATTTTTTACCGTTTTATTTGTTTGTAAACATTTATTTTTACCTATCTCGAAGTTGAAGTATATTTATCGAAGCAAAACTCAATTTATAAGGTTTTGTTTTTCAAAAAGCAAGAAAAATATTTTGTTTTCTAAATTCAATATTCAAATAATGCTTTACGTTTTCTTCTGTATTTCAACTTAAATTTTCAAATCTTTTCGAAATCGAATAAATTTCTATTTGTTTATCAAAATCTACAAAAGAATCTTTTTGAATAAATTTCTAATTTCTATAGAAGCACTTTTTTTGCTTTTAAATTTGAATATATTTTTGATTAAAGACAAAATGTAGCACACTTAGAATGTGTTCTAAGTGCTTTCAATAAGAGTTGTGTACACTTTTGTTAGGTTTTACCGTGCACACGCACACACACACACAAACACACACATATACAAAGAGAGGATACTTATGCGGCACTCAGTAACAACGCGGGCCCACGGGGCGTATGTCCATTTTTCAAACATGAAATTTTCAAATGACCTTTAACATTAACGGCACGTTCCGCCTGACGTATGTGGGCCGTGTGTCGACCCACGCACTTGAAAATATATGAACTTTGCCACTCACCTGCCGGCAGTTCCCGCTCCCGCTCCTGTTGCTGTTGTTGCTGCTGTTGCAGCTTGTTGTTCGCATTGGTGGATAGCTCTGTGTTCTGGGCCAGCACAGATGCTGGCACCGCTGCCGCCAAGCCGACTAGCAGCAGTAGCAGCGCCAGCAGCATGCTCTGCCCCATTCCGGACGCTGACAATGATAATTGCATATTCAAGCACACACACACGGATCACTTAGTAACTTTGGTAAACAAGTGAGAAGACGTTTGTTGAGTGTCCCAGTTATGGGCCTGGTCTGGTTGACCCTTCGCTAGCTATTTGCCTGACTGCCTGACTGCCTGCTGATGTCTTCTCCAACTGGGCTTTGTTGTTTCGGTTTCAGAGTTCAGAGTTGAGCTTCAATGGTTTTTTTTTTTGGTTGCTGGCTTCTTGTCCGCGTGCTGTGACTGTTCTGAATGAACTGTCTGCTTGCTGGCGTAGTGCAACAGTTTTTAATGTTCAATCGCCCCAAATTCGGTTTTGCAGCCGAAGGCAGCGGCTCGTTGTTGTCTGCACAGCCATCTACGTCATTGTCATTGATAAGAATTGCGGCCGTCTGCAAATTAAACAAGCCAACACAGGCTCTGCTTACGTACTTTCAGCCTGGCCAAATGCTTTCAATGCGCCTGCTCCAACTCTGCACACAATCGCCGCCCCTCACATTTCTGAATCAATTATATATATATATGCATACATATAAGGCAAAACTGTTGCCCTCTCTGGAGTTGGCTGTTCCGGTTCCAGTTCCAGTTCCAGTTTGTGAACTTGGTTCATCATTTACATTTTTGAATTATTCTCATTATTTATTTTATATTAATTTTTATTTTGTTAATATCTTACCAGATTTAGATGTCAAATTGCCACAGCTCGTGAAAATCGGATGAGATTTGACCGAGCTATGGGGGTGGGAAATTTTGACCTATGTCTATATAGGATATTTGAGGGTACCATTTTCACATGGATTTTGACCAAAAATAATGTTACCAGATTTTGATGCCAAATTGATCTAGAGGCCGAACCATGAAAAAAAAGCCATACCTCGTGAAAATCGGATGAGATTTTACCGAGTTATGGGTGTGGGAAATGTTGACCTATGTCTATATAGGATATTTAAGGGACCATTTTCACATGAATTTTGATCAAAAATAATGTAACCAGATTTAGATGCCAAATTGATCTAGAGGCCGAACCATGAAAAAAAGCCATACCTCGTGAAAATCGGATGAGATTTGACCGAGCTATGGGGGTGGGAAATTTTGACCTGTCTATACAGGATATTTGAGCGTACAATTTTCACATTAATTTTGACCAAAAATAATGTTGTCAGATTTAGATGCCAAATTGATCTAGAGGCCGAACCATGAAAAAAAGCCATACCTCGTGAAAATCGGATGAGATTTGACCGAGCTATGGGGTGGGAAATTTTGACCTATGTCAATATAGGATATTTGAGGGTACCATTGTCACGTGAATTTTGACCAAAAATAATGTTGTCAGATTTAGATGCCAAATTGATTAATAGGCCAAACTATGAACAAAAATCAAAACCTCTTGAATATCGGATGAGATTTGACCGAGTTATGGGGGTGGAAAATTTTGACCTATGTCTATATAGGATATTTGAGAGACCATTTTCAAATGAATTTTGACCAAAAATAATGTTACCAGATTTAGATGCCAAATTGATCTAGAGGCCGAACCATGAAAAAAAGCCATACCTCGTGAAAATCGGATGAGATTTGACCGAGCTATGGGGGTGGGAAATTTTGACCTGTCTATACAGGATATTTGAGCGTACAATTTTCACATTAATTTTGACCAAAAATAATGTTGTCAGATTTAGATGCCAAATTGATCTAGAGGCCGAACCATGAAAAAAAGCCATACCTCGTGAAAATCGGATGAGATTTGACCGAGCTATGGGGTGGGAAATTTTGACCTATGTCAATATAGGATATTTGAGGGTACCATTGTCACGTGAATTTTGACCAAAAATAATGTTGTCAGATTTAGATGCCAAATTGATTAATAGGCCAAACTATGAACAAAAATCAAAACCTCTTGAATATCGGATGAGATTTGACCGAGTTTTGGGGGTGGGAAATTTTTGTAACTCTGCTAATGTGACTCCACAACTGTCACTGTAAATTGTAAAAAAAATGCACTTAATTTTGAATATAATACATGTTTATTTATACCTCATTTAGTTGCAATAAATATTTGTTATAATCTTTACATATTGTAAGTCTCAAGGCTTCTAAGGTGTATGTATTTCGGGTTTTTGTTTTTCTAAATTTTTTTTTCGTTTTTTTTTGTTGCACTTAGAATTTAAGTATCGAGCTGAAAGGTCAGATAGTTTAACGATCTAGCGTCGTGTATCGTGTCGTATGTTACATTTGCATTATGAATCGAACAAAATCCGTATAAAAAGAAGGTTAAGACTACAATTTGTCAGCTAATCGAAGGAAGGAAAACATTGCCAATAAATATAACTAGAAACAGGGCGTAACGCATTGCACATGGGTATTGGTGTCTGTGTGTATCTGTGTGTGTGTGTGTGTGTGTGAGGGAAGAGGAGTGTGTTAGTGGGGGGATTTGGGGAAAGAGGCCTGACTAATCTATATGGCCCGATCTCTATGGATGCTCTATTTGGCATTCTCGAGCACCTCGACAATGTGCTTGGAGACCAGCGCAGTGGCCTCTGTGGCATTTGGTATCAGGAAACGGTCCATGTCGGTGATGAGCAGCCCGTCGCCGTCGAGAAAACCGTATTTGAATGTTATCAAATCGCGATGCCGCTTCTTGGCCGTAATCTTAACGATGCTGGCCAGTGGACGGCGCACCATAATCTGCGCCTGGCCGCGACCCAATTCGCGCAACACCACCAAATGGGTGGGCGTTATAATCAGATGGCTATCGTACATATAGCCATTGATGTGCACATCCCGGCACTTGAACGCATTGATAATGTCCGCCGTCTTGAAATATTGATTGAGATTAACAATTTCCTTGTTAACACCCGACGCCTGCGGCGCATCCCGTCCGCCATCGTCGTATGTCTCCTCGTTCTCATCATCGATGCTGAAGACAGGCGCCACATTCCGATAACGTTTCCCATTGCGATCCTTGGCGCTAACATGACGCTCCTGGGCGGCCTGTGCTTGTGAGGCGCCATTGTTGGAGGAGCTGGCGGCGCCATTTGAACTGGGATTGACAATGATGTCCAGTAGACGGCCCTTGACCTCGGCTGATTTGCTTTTCATGGCCGCGGAGAATTTGCTAAACAGATCCGTGGAGGACGGCGTCGTGGCTGGTGCCTTGAGCGGTGCGGATTTTGACTGGAATTGAAATTGATTAGGATTTAGCATGTGGCTTATTAATAATAATTGGAAATAAGGCATCGATCTACAGGGCTGAAAGGCGACTCGTTATACTCTGTACCCAGTGTAAGGGATTACCTGTTTGACATTGTGCTGTTGGCACACGAGACATTTGCTCACGCTGTGATCCTCGAGGCAGTCGGCCATGTGATCGCCAAAGTAGTCGTGAATGGAGGCATATCCGCCGGTCAGTAAGGACACATAGTGTGTGTTCTTTTGCAGGAATGAGGCCACCACCATGTGCGTATATTGATCCTCCTCGACACGGCCGCTGCCCATAAAGCACAAATGCTCACCGCCCGCATTCGAATTGACCTCAATGGCCTGCTTCTGTGCGGTGAGCAGGCCCTGGACGGCGGTGGCAAACGCCACCGGCTCCTGTAGCATTAGATTGCAATCAAGATGAAATGCGGTGGACAAATGGCCCGCATTGTACTGTTCGGCTGGACGGCAGTCCACGAGAAAGAAGCGTACGGCATCCTGTACAGGGAATTCAGTAGCTGAATTCTCGACCAGCTCATATACGGAGACGGGCAGACAAAGTGCTTGGGATACTTTATTGGACTCCTCCTGGCTGCGTGGCGTATCATTCTGTTTGCCATAGAGCGCCTTTAGGTAATCCGTCTTGAAGGATGTGGGCGTTTTCAACGCATAGTACTGGGCCAGGGAGCAAAAGTCGGGCACATCGTCCACCTCCAAGGCGCACGGCATATTGATGAGAAACTTGATAATGTCCTCCTTCGAAGCGTTTTTCATCAACATTATCTGTTCGCGTCCATTGATGAGAATAATCAGCGCCAGAAAGAAGACCATAAACGGATCGGCATTCTGGAAATACAAATCCCACATGGCAATAATCACAGAGAGACTGCTGCAGGAGGCAAATAGCGATTGAAACCAGGTCAACGAGTAGAGGTCGGGTGTGATCTTCTTGGTGTCCAGCACAGTGCATAGCTCCGGATCGTGATAGAGCAATAGCAAACGAAATACATGAAAGACATTGCCCTTGGGCTTGCAGCCTTTGGGTATATATGTGTCCCGTATGGATTCGAACAGATTGAAAGTGTCCGAGCGATTCAGTTTGAGTGCGAATAGCGGCAGGAGCAGCTCAATCCAACCATTTTCGGGCTCATATTGCAAATTGCGATTTTTGCAATAGAAGGTCATAATCGATTCCAGATCGGAGACAACGGAAACTTTGTCCTCCTCATCGTTGCCCATGCGTTCCACATAACGTTGGCAATCCTCGCGCAATTGACTTTGAAATGGCAGATCGTAGATCTCGTTGAAGAGCGACATTTGATCGCTTTTGTGGCGCACATCGAGGCACACTTGCCACACATCCGGACGCAGTGCCTCCGGCAGTTGTTTGCCCTGGCAAATGCTATATATATCGTTCACATTGCAGTCGTCCAGCAGCGCCGATTCCAGCTCAATTATCCTGTAAGTTCACAAAGAGAGAGATTTGAATTATTACCGTTAGTACAGCGCAGCTTTTGCTCTCATACAGACACGCAGCCAGGCTGGAAAGAGAGTACAAAAGCTTTCAACCGATCAGACAGCCGCCCACTCCCACTTTTTTCTCTCTCTCTCTCTCTTGCTCTACCTCTCAAGGGTGGACTAATTCGTTTGTTTTCGCTTAATTCAACGTGTCCAACTTGGCACAGCTGTTGCTGATAACATTAAAAAAGTTGCCTATCTGTTTGGCTGCTGACTCAAAAATTTGCTGGCTTCTTCACTATCTTTCCCTCCTTGTCGCACGCATAGTAGGTATGCCAGCACCGCAAGGCCAATGCGTAGTCCTCAGAACAAATTGCTCAATAAAGATTCTTTATATTTATAATATAACAATTACAAACTGACCGCTGACGTCGCTGCCGACGTCTACTGTGAGAGCAGAGTCAATGTTTATTTACCACATATTCTCCTCCATGTCCGTGAGCCCCACATATACAGTTGCACGGTTGGCAAATTTGTCTTTGACTTGCTTTTAGCAGCGTTTATCTATTGCACTCTTAACGGTTTTGGCAACAGACTTTTGCGCATTTTTGGTAGGTTTAGAATAAATGTTGAATTTCGTTAAGATTCGCCAAAAATTGCTTTACTGTGTATGAGTTAATGTTTTCTTATTGGAAGTATTTTGTGGCGGCACACCGATTACTGCCGATAAGTGTGTGCGAGCAAGAAATCGGTAGGGATGCCAACTCTGTTTCTTCTCGTGTCGCCCAGTCACTGTGAATGTTTGAACTGGTAGTCCGCTCGCAAAAATTCAAGCAAAACATTTAATTTGAAACGTTCAACAATCAATGCAGCTGCTGCTTATTGTATGTTAAATAAATCATACAAAACGCAACAAACAGGCTGTTATTAAGGAAATTAATTTCTAAGCACTAGGCAGTTGGTGCAACGTGCGTCAAGTAAGGTAAGTGGTTGGGGTAAGTGCACCCGAGCACACTACACACACACACATACACACACACACACGCACGTACACGGGCAAATACAGTTTGCAAAAACAAAAACAAAAGCATTATTTTTATTTTGTGCTTTTGCAACTAATGGCACATATATGCGCATATTTATACATTCGGCTGCACACAATGATGCAGCCTTCACCTAAATAATGCATCTATTGATTTTGCATATGCATTTCGTTGCATTGCCAAGCGGCATTACTTGCAAGATTCTCGTATGCGTGTGCATATGTGCATGTGTGTGTGTGTGTTTTTTGACCTCACGAGTCAACAGCCAGCAACAGCTGTCCTGTCGCTCCAGTTTGGCTTCGTGCCCCTCTCACCCCCTTTTTCGTCTTGTCAGAAGCTCAAGAGTGCTTTTGACAGCTTCACGTTTTCTTTGTGTGTTTGTCATTGCATTTGTGCCGCAGTCGCAGCCACGTGTGTCGCTTGCATAGCAGCACGTAGACTCTGCCATTTTTCGATACCCTATATTCATTAAAATGGCTCAAAAGTAGGGTATATATCAGCTGTGCAGAAGTGTATGTAACAGATAGCAAGAGACATCTTTGAGTCGAACTAAAGAAAGACTAAAGCTAAAGACTTCAAACTAGGATTATAAATTGTTGTACTATACGTTTATTTTAACTCTTAAATCAATAATTATCGATAACTCCCTAATGTCACATCAGCTTGCTGCTTGGTAAATGGTATCTCTTAGTCGAGCACGCGCAATTGTAACATTCGTACTTGTTGTTAACATACATTTTAATTGCGTCTTCTTGTCCACAGATGAAACAACGCTCTGCAACAAGTGGCAGCAACAATAACTCGTTTGCCAACAGCAGCAACATTAACATCAACAATAACAGCAACTTTGGACAGCAACAGTTGCATGCAACCGCGGCAACAGGTCAGCAACAACAGCTGTTAAAATCAGCGCAGATTGTAAGCGAGTGGGATGATGGCATTATCTTTGATGTGGATGATCCAGACTTTTGCCCCGGACCGCCACCTGTCGTTATTGACAAGCTGACAACAGCCACGAATAGCTGTGCTGCAGCGTTACGGAATTTGAATTTTATAGGTGAGTAGTCTATATTTATGATTATCAACAACTGATTAACCTGATGCAGTTAGTAACAGCAAATTACAACGAGGCGAAAGTAACATAACACAGCCTTCTCTCAACAAAAACATCACATTGTTAGTAACAGCAGGCCACAAACGGTTTGATAGACTAGTAAGAAAAGCAAATTGGTTTGGTTAATGAGGCAATTTATGGGAAAAGCTTCACGTGTATTTAATTTTTCTACATTCAATCAAATGTAATTGTGAGGGAATTTTTTATTGTTGTTGTTTCGGGCATTGCGCTGACAATGTTATCAATGCCATCTGCTCAAGACTCATTAGAACGGGCAATTTAGACACTAAAAATTTATATTGTCTGACCTTAGAGGCGGCATTGATAAGAATTTGCCAGAAGATACCCTAGTTCTTAATTTAAAATAAACAAAACAAAAAGAGATGGTCTGAATCAGAATTTCTAATTGAAATTTCTCACTTAAAATTTGGGTGAACGGACGCGTCAAGGTTCAAACCAAAACCTTGGCTGATGGATGTTCACGAATATATATAGGCGAGACGTTGATTCGATTTGTAACCATTCACAAATATGTATTGTTAAAATTAATATTAAATAGCAATACATGCGCTACTGTTAGTAACAGAGATCTAGCGCCATGTTAGCTAACATAAGCTTGAGAATTAACAGCGGCTGCTTTTTAAAGTGCGCAATAGCTGTTAAATTGAATATTCATAACAGTTGCCTAACAGAATGTACATAAATCAGTTCTTCAAATGTATTTCTAGAGACGTTGCTAACAAATGTTACCTGATACAGAAAAACAAATCTAGTACAGTTTATCTACTAACTCTTCCATGGGGGTTCCCTTGTAAATCTCTATATATAGAGATAGGAGCTGTAATTGATGTTTTTAAGCTAGACTAATATTAGCACACGTTGCTGTCCACGATTAGGCTTATTTATAGACGTTCGCGTCTAGACAAGCGGTGCACGAGAATACCTTATTACTATAAATATTTACGATCGATCTGCTGATAGACCTAAAACTGGAAAATTTATTTTGCACTGTTTACCATTGCGAAGAGCGTGTGCTGACTGGCAGCTAGCTATGTATGTACATATATACATACGTTTATATGTCTGGCTTATCAGCTGCGTTTTTTCCAGCTCGCTTATTAGCAGGTGCGTGGGCGTGGTCGCTATTTAAGTTAGTCCATACGTGTGGTGTACATATAATATATATATATAAATGCTGGTACTTGTACTTTATCCATATCGCGTCCCTGTGCTCTTTGTGCGACCCACTTGCAATTCTTTTTTTTGCTGCTTTATACATGATTGAGCGGAAACTGGCGCACACTTTTATTAACATCAATTGCCGGCGATAGTCAGCTTTATCGCTCAAGTGGCTCCCTCCTCTAATATATGTATATAATGCCAAATACGCGGGCTATCAATTTATATTTAAGACCAGTTCTTGCTGCTTCAAAGTTCACACACAAGCATTCTCATCGGTCATGCATTCAACAATAATCGATAACAAAGTAATCGATGTCCTTTTATATTTAGCAGCATGTTCCATTATTTATAGAGACAATTAATTATGTGCAACAAGAGGGAATAGCTTTTTTAATGCTCACATGGGCATCAATCAAATTAGGTTTGTGGCAGCTATATGATATCTTGTCATAATCTATCGATTGATCTACACGTCAATCAATCAAATTTGATGTAGTTGAAGCGGAAATGTATTTGTACAACTTGTTGCAGCGTCAGCTAAGTATAGATAGATATAGTTATTTGATTTCGCTAAAATTGGTTAAAACTGGAACTTGGAAGTTTGTTCAACATAAACTTTAAACAATCAATATGTAAATTAGGCAGTTTATTTTTTGAAATATAGAATAGGGTATGCCCCTTATGTTCGGGTAAATATTTAGATGGATTCTTAACTTAGGCGCAGCTTCAATGGAGTATACCACTATGATGGATTAGCTTATTCTTTTAGAAATCCCCAGATTTGTAGACCTATCGTCTCGACTTAACCTTAAAAAAACCCACTTAATATTCTTTTAGATCTTTTAATCGATTATTTGAGTTTTTTGATATATTAAGCAAATATTAATATTGTTCAAAAGTCTTTAAAACTCTTATAATAAAGTTTTATATATTTGTTTTATAAACTTGAAACTTATTAAACTTTACTATAATTGTTATATTATAAACAATTATAATTGTTTTAAGGACTTTAAACTTTATTATGGCAGTTTTTTTCGGATCTTTAAATAAAAAGGTTTTCATATAAAAACTCAGTTTTCTAACAGTAGTTCCCTTTGATGTTATATAATATTGTCTTGTTATATGATATAGACGAAAGGACTATAATAGTAATAGTACAATATATAAAAATCTTATTAGTGGCAAGTACAGGGTTTCAAACAAAGCAGAATTTGTTTTTACGTATATTTGTACAGTAATGCGATTAATAAGAAAACTAATTATCAAAGTTCTTTATAGCTGGCATGAAAGTACCAAAGTCGGGGCTAAATCGGCACAGCTCATCGATCTGATTTAAAATAAATAAATATACATTTGTATAGTTGACAGGAAATATGTACATATATAGTTTTTTCGGAAATGTCTCCTTCCATGCGTTGCGCATTCCTAATTCTGCTTAAAAACAAAAAAATAAAAAATAACACCCACAGACCATCAATCAATTAATGTACGTGCCCGGTTATGGGCCTTCGAGCATAGCGCGAAAATACTTTTCGCTTTTCGTTTTGTGCTAATTATTGTCTCTTTCTTGTGGCTTTTATCTGCGATCTGATTAGCCATATAAACAAAGCGTGCGGCTCGCTTATTCACACGTTTCTGTTGTCGCTGGAAATTTATGAAATTCACGCGTTTATCATGTGACTTGTTCTGCGCAACGGTGACTCTCGGAACTCTCTGCTCTGCACTCGGCTCTACCTATTTGCCTAGGGGACTACGAGTTGTGCTAACATTAATCACGCTCCGTTCGGGGATTATGCATGTTAACTGAACAACTTAACTTGTTACTTTTCATTTTATGTTTGCGTGTGGCGCTACAAAGTCCACTTCTCTCTTTTTTTCGTCTCTTTATTTTTTTATTTAAGTGGCCCTCGACACGTGTGGATCGTTTAGTTAATTTACAAAGCCGACAATCAGGCTAACACCCACGAAGCTCTTGCGTGTCGCGTCTACAAGCTATAAGAACTGTAACCCTGGCGAGGGAGGGGGGGGGGGGGGGTGCGGCGTGTTTATAATTGAGCAATATATTTTTATGTAGTTGTTGGTAAAGCAAAAATTGAAATGATTAGCACATTAATTTTGTATTCCAACATGAGTTAATTTATATGCATACAGTATTCATTAGTTAGCACGTCTATATATACATATATGCTGATATGTACAGAGATCTGGTTCTATCTATTTTGATACCCTTGTAGAGAGTATTATAACTTTGTCAGAAATTGTGTTGTGAACCCATAAAGTATATATATTCAAAGTCAGGATCAACAGCTGAGTTGATAGAGCCATGTCCGTCCGTCCGTCTGTCTGTTTCTATGCTAACTAGTCTCAGCTTTGCATAGGTCCGTCTATCTGTTGCAGGCTTTACATATGTCGGAACCGGCCGGATCGAACCACTATATCATGTAGCTGCCATAGGAACTATCAATCGAACAGTAGGTTTTTATATGAAAAACTGTTTTGTTTATTAAGATATCGTACACGGAAAGTAAACACAGAAACGATCGGTCGAAAATTAGTTTCCGTTTTTTTGTTTTCTGCAAAAGGAAAATGTCTAAAGAGTATTAAATCTTCGGCGTTCCGAAGATATGATCACTTTCTCGTTATATTTGTATTCAGAGAATCTATAGAATCTCTTGGACCATCCAAAAATACCATTTTTTCTTTGGTTGAATTTTTGTACATAACAAGCTTTTAATCAAATTTGAATAAGAACTACAATTTGAAAGATAAAGTCAAAAATTTTGTTACACACTTTTTTCAGCATATTATCATACGAACCCAAACACAAAAGTTATTGAGAAATCGAAAAATGTACTTGATTTGGATCTAGGGCATCGCAAAGTCGAGCACGTTGGCAAGTTTTATACTCTGCTTATTTTTGGCTTTTACTATTTGCTGATGCAAATCGCGAATAGTCAATTATCAGAAATAATATCGCGAGATCTGCTGCAGTTCTAAAAATAATTAAACAATCATTAAAAAAAGCTTAACAAACTCTATAAACCGCTATCGAGGCAAAAACTGAGTCAAAAAATAAATAATGGCTGGCATTTTATGCTGAAACGTATTCGCAAATCTCTGCTCTATAAATATTTATATTTACATTCAGATTTATATTGAATTTAAGTTTTATCACTTAAGCCACAGCTAGAGGTTATTTTGCACAGGGCTGAAAAACCAGAAGTTTTTTTGTGTGTTTGTTTGCTTTGGCATCGCATTTCCGAATGAATGGGAAAGCAACATGAGTAGCTATATCTTTATTACATGGCATATGTCTTGTAAATATTATATATCACATAGTGCGACTGTTTTAAGGTCTGGCTTTGTTTAATTTTTAATATTGTATTATAGATATGGGCTTCTGTCGCCAGTTCCTTATAACCATAGAATATGGCGCTATCATACATTTCTCAGTATTCAATAGACAACTCTGGCAATTCGTATGAAAGGTGTACTATTAGTTAATACTGCATAGGATTTCTTTTTTTGTGAATTACTAGTTGAGTAGTGATTTTCTGTTTTATATACTCTGTATACATTGACAATGGGTAAAATGATTTTGTGCAGATGTATGTTACAGGCAGAGGGAAATATAAATCTATATTCTCCTAAACCACACACTGAAAGAATTTATGATTTCTTCTTTTCGATATCTTCTCCCATTTTCCTAATATCGATAAATATCGATTTTGCCATATCTCGGAGATTATGAGAGCTAGATA